AGGTTGTCAAAATCAAATTAGACATGGGATGGACCATTTTTCCTTGATAAAAAAATACTATATTAGCACCAAGCTATCTCAACAATATAAGGATAGCATACTAGATGAGGGGTCATTAGCACGATCATCCTGTGGATAACATACGAGATGAGCATCATGTGGAGAGACCACCCCATCTTAGGACACCACCACCATGCGCTACAAGAAGCCACACCGCTACCTTCTCCTGCATGGCGGAGAGGGGAGGGAGTTGTCGAGGAGGGGAGGGAGGTACAGCCCAAGTCACCGAGGAGTAAAGACGCCATGACCGGTCAACAAAGGTTGAATGGTCTTAATTACTGCCTTTTAGTTAATAGTACTTCATCTGTCCAAAAATACTTGTTGAAAAAATGGATGTACAGAATATTTCTAGGAGAAATGGACGAGGGAGAATTTATTTTCAAAATATATCCACTGATAACATACTGTACATCATAGAAACTTTTGAACTTTTGCCAAACGGTGCGCCCATTTGCAGTTTCTTATGCATCGTGCGAAACAAAACTACGAGATGGCTCAAAAAAGCTGAATTTTCCAAAGCATGGAGATGCTCACACATCACGGTTAGGTGGGAACATATTTTACTCGGGATCCCATGGACGCCATCGTGCCATACATGGAACCAACGGACTTAAAGTTGTGATCCGGTCTGCATGTGATTCTCATGCACGTACACCACAAGAGTACATGATATACACAATTTTTTAGCTCTAGCTAGATACGTAAAATACTCACATCATTTGTTGATCGAATCAAGTAGCATACGCCGCGTCCTAGCTAACTCTAGACTTTGGCAGCCTCACCTTGAGCTGTCATGGAGTGCCCCACCCTACACAATAGGACTAGGACGAGTTTGTCCTAGGATGGTTGAAAGATGAGCATCATCGGTAAACACGATACCTTGATAGGTTGGTTGGGTAGAGTTGTATATTTCCAATTTCTTCCATCGAGCTATGTTATTTCTCTCATTGCATCATACCAGTAAAATAGACTAGTTTGATTACGTATGCTAGTACTATTTTCCTTTCCTCACGCGTAGGCGCTAGGGTAAAGTTCTTCTCCACTTCGACCTCCATCAGCCAATCCATGGATTCTCCTTCCCTCTACTTGCCGCTTCTGTGCCTGGTGGCGGCGAGGGGAATTCCGCTGCCTTGCATCCGGCTAATAGTTTAGGTTTGATATTATTTTTTTAGTCATCGCAGGGGCGCGCTTCATCTTTGAGTTGGACTCGAGGCTTCGATCCTCCTCGAATTCGTCCATCACAACGGAATCAACGAAGCTCCAACGTAGATTTCTGACCTCTCCTTGGAGTGGCGGCGTTAGGCTTTCTAGTGGTACGTTTACAACCAAGATATGGTATCACACACTTCATATCGATTTAAGGGTTTTAACGACGATGGCCGCGGCTGGTCCTTAGTGGCACGTCCACGAAGACTTCTGGGGTGACAACAAGTCAACCGACCGGCTCCGGTATGGGAGTGGCGCCAACGGTGCATCCGCGGCTCATTCCGACGGCGACATTGGTCGCTCGGTGGTCAGGATCCTTGATGTAATTCTTATTATGTGTGAGCTGCTTTGTTCTTCCGGTGAACTTTTACATAATAGATCCGTGACTTTTCTAAAAAAAACACCAGTAGAACAATAAAATGAAAGAATGCGCCAAAAATACAGCAAATTGAGCTCCCACATGGAGTCCCCCTACACAAAATTGTTTCCACATGGGATTATATGCTGAAAATCGTTGGAAGCCTAGCTAGAACATGCATGGGATCGGAATGGATCGACGAGGTTCGAGGGAATCTCGTCGCGAGCTGTGGCGCCCTACCACGTGACGTGTCCACGTCCACATGGACCAGCCCCTGCGTTGTCCTACCACACTTGCATGTCTCCCGGTGGGCACACCACACGGTTGGCCACATGGTTGCTCGTAACGTGCTGCGGCGTCTGGGTTCGGAGATCGATCGGGTGCTGCAAGCAAATTGCTGCGGCGCCTGGGTTTGGGCAAAACGGTCATTCGCCGTTCGGACGTCAAGGCCTCTTTACCCGTGGACTCCATCCCGTTGGATAATACGGATCCCGTGGACTCGCTAGCAGCGTTACCCCGACAGGGCGGCATGGACTCGCCACCAATTGGCCACCGGACACCTGGCGCTCCTCTCGGATCTGGTGCGGCTACACTACGGGGGGTGCCGAATAATTTTTAGCAGATGGAGTACTGTTTCCTGCATTCAGTATCTGTACCATTTCGCTCGCTGAATGTGCTGCTCCACTTGGTTTTTTTATCAAGGCTGCTGATTATTGGGATCAATAGTTTTCTTTGCAGCAAGTTGTCATCAAAAGTATAGTTATGGCATAGATGGTTGAAAACTTGTACTAATACTAGTAATTGAACTAGAGTAAGTATGATGGAAACTGATTAGGATGTATGTACCTAAAAAAAGGGTATGTAGCTCAATCTGAATGTAGATAACAGCTAGACAAATGTCAATTGCAAAGAGAGCTGGTAGGGTTTCTAGCTCTGTTTATGCAGTGGCGGAGCTAGATTTAACCTAGTTCATGTCTTTACAGTTTGGATAAGAGAAGTGGTACACATCTTCAGCCACGTACCTCTAATTTGACCCCTCAAATGCCCACGGACACGCCCAGTCAGTGACCGGACGTGTCCGTTTTGAGCCCCTATTTATTGTCCGCACATCCACATTCCTCATTTTCTTCCCCATATGTGCGGTCACATGCATGTGATTGGTTGAGATGAAGAGGAAGAAAGAAAACAAGGAATAAAGAAAGAGAAAAGGTGGTCCGGATGGGGACGCGTCCTATGTGGCGGACTGACCGAGCGCGGCCGGGCGAGGCCGCGAGTCCTCATATCCTCTCCATATTTGAGATGGATATGAGGGTTCGCGGACAGCCCGGGCATATAGGGATGATATGAGGAGTCCGGTTGGGTCAACTTTTTGCTACTTTTTGCTTCTCTCTCTTGTCCGGTAAGTGGTCTCCGCGCCCGCCCGATCAATTCGAGGAGTCCGGTTGTAGATGCTCTAAGGGGGGAAACACCCTGGAGTGCAGACCAAGGCTCAAATAGCTAATTGTTTTGGAATTGTGGTTGAATGCGTAACGGACTTTGCTATGTGGTTCTTCGACGACAAGGAACATGTGTTTGGTTTCTTAAGGAACTTCTATATTTCCCATCATCAAAGTAAGGGAAAGGGGGTGACCCGGGTTCGAATAACATATATGTCATGTTAGGATCTAACGAAAAGCTTTAATGAGAAGAGAATCTACATTGACACCACCAAAATTGATTCTACTATATCCATATAGAAGTTAAAGCATGCCAGTCAAATCTTAAAGATATGTAAAAATTTGTTTAAATAACTCAAATGAGAGAGAGAGAGGTTTTGTAATTAAGGTACTTATTTGCTAAACATAATTGATAGATAGTCCCAACGATGAAAAAATAGATAGAATGCACAAGGTACAAACCAATATTGATAATGCTAGACCTATGAACCCGCTACGAACTCCCTACATAAATTTCAAATCTACTCTTCTCGCCCCCCCCCCTCTGAATTTCAAGGGTGGGCCCCGTCGCTCCTCCCTATCCAATAATACTGATCGACGTTGCTGCTTACGTAAAACACGTAACAAAATTTACGTAGGTCTAGCATTACTCGGGTGAATACGACCTCATGCTGGTATATTCAATATGAATTTGAATTTAACAAATTCAACATATTTATCCCTAATTTTCACCACACGAAAATTTGATTCGTTGGCGTGCTTCTATTGATGAGTGTGGGTGCCTATTTACCTGGCCATGGGCAGCCCGACCCGGGCGGCCCGGCCTGACCCAAAAAAGCCCGACCGACCTTGCCCCTGGCCAGGCTTGGGCCCGTCGTATTTGCAATTTAAGGAAGAAGGTCCGGCGGGCTTTTTGCGTGATGGGCCAGGCTTGGGCCTGATTTTTAGACCTGATGGCCGAGCCGAGCTCGGGCCTAGGTTTATTGTGCCGGGCTTTGGTAGGCCGGCCCGGCCCGACAGATGGCCAGGTATAGTGCGCATATACTTGCGTACGCACGAGCGTGTGTCTTTTTATTATCACAAGAATAAACTCAACACATGAGAAAAGAACATGGTTCCAGCCACAAAAGATCTTGATAGTATAGAGAGCCATCTCCAACCTCCATACTATGTAAGGTCTTTTCCAGAAGGGAAAAAGAGCACACTGTAAGTTCTAGGTTTGACAAGAAAAGAGGAAACACCTTGTAATTCCTATAACTAGGAGTACATTTTTTTACCTTTGAGAGCAAAAGATCACATCAGAATATCAAGATCAGACACCCGGCGTCCAGCTCCCGTTGGTTCCGTCTCGATCCTCCGCCAATTCGTCCCACCCACCGCTGCCACCAAGGGACAAACTCGTCAATCAACACCGCCCTGGCGCCTATAAGAAGGCTCCTCCCCATTTCTTCAAACTTTAGCCGATCAGTGTCCTCCACAAGAAAAAAATATACTATAAGCAATAGAAAATTGGTTGTCCCTCGTTAAGAAAATCAAGAAAAAGATTTCCATTTCTTCTTGAGCTCCCTTCCACCACCAACCTCTCCTCCGGCCGGCCGAATTGTCCCGCTCTGGTTTGCGTCTTCTCCGGCGAGGAAGTAGCTAGGCCTCCCACTCCTCATGTGAGTGGTCTCCTCCCCGCAGGGCTGAGGAGATCTCTCGGGACCTCGGGACTGGGGCGTGTATGATGGGGATTTCGCTTATGCCGATGAAGACGCCCACGCGGCTTCTGTGGAGCACCAGCTTCTTCCGCCACAAGCTCGCCGCCATGATCGCCTCCTCGTCCTGCTTCTTATAAGAGCCCCTCCGCCGCGCAGCAGCTGTATATATACGTCTTTTTCATTTGATTTCGCCCCCCGTTCGATCGACAACCAACGCAACTTCTTGAAGCTTTCTCTGCGATGGAGCCCGGCCGGCTCATCTTCAACACGTCGGGCTCCGGCAACGGACAGATGCTCTTCATGGACTGTGGCGCGGGCGGCATCGCCGGCGCGGCCGGCGTGTTCCATCGAGGTATCATATTCTCATCCCCTACTAGTTTTCTCGATCCCGGTTGTTTGGTTCGTTAGGCAAGTAGGAGTAGCTTTTGTGTGGAGACTGGAGAGTGATTGGTGTACTGATTGGGGTTGCCATGTTTGAGTGATGAAGGGGTGAGACCGGTCCTCGGCGGCATGGAAGAAGGGCGCGGCGTGAAGCGGCCCTTCTTCACCTCGCCGGATGACATGCTCGAGGAGGAGTACTACGACGAGCAGCTCCCGGAGAAGAAGCGGCGCCTCACCCCAGAGCAGGTGACAATTCGTTGCTACAGTAGCGAAGATGATGCTCTGTTCATCCGAATTAATTCTGACGGTGCATGCGCGCCACGCGTACGTGTGTAGGTCCACCTGCTGGAGAGGAGCTTCGAGGAGGAGAACAAGCTGGAGCCGGAGAGGAAGACGGAGCTGGCCCGCAAGCTCGGCCTGCAGCCACGCCAGGTGGCCGTCTGGTTCCAGAACCGCCGCGCCCGGTGGAAGACAAAGACGCTGGAGCGCGACTTCGACCGCCTCAAGGCGTCCTTCGACGCCCTCCGCGCCGACCACGACGCCCTCCTCCAGGACAACCACCGGCTCCTGTCACAGGTAATCAAAGTCAACCACACTTCACCACCGGCCGGGCACCGTGGCTTCCGCTGCTGAGTTTGATTTGGGAGATCCATCTTTGTGGCGTCAGGTGGTAACGTTGACCGAGAAGATGCAAGATAAGGAGGCGCCGGAAGGCAGCTTCGGTGCAGCCGTCGACGCCTCGGAGCCGGAGCAGGCGGCGGCGGAGGCGGAGGCGAAGACTTCCTTGGCCGACGCCGAGGAACAGGCCGCGGCAGCGGAGGCGTTCGAGGTGGTGCAGCAGCAACAGCAGCTGCATGTGAAGGACGAGGAGAGGCTAAGCCCGGGGAGCGGCGGGAGCGCGGTGCTGGACGCGAGGGACGCGCTGCTCGGGAGCGGATGCGGCCTCGCCGGCGTGGTGGACAGCAGCGTGGACTCGTACTGCTTCCCGGGGGGCGCCGGCGGCGACGAGTACCACGAGTGCGTGATGGGCCCCGTGGCGGGCGGTATCCAGTCGGAGGAGGACGACGGCGCGGGCAGCGACGAGGGCTGCAGCTACTACCCCGACGACGCCGCCGTCTTCTTCGCCGCGGCGCAAGGGCACAGCCACCATCACACGGACGACGACGATCAGGACGACGGCCAGATCAGCTACTGGATGTGGAACTAGGCTCGCGCACGCATCAAGAAGCGTGCGTGCGTGCGCCGTGTGGAATCGATCAATTTCGTATATCAGTAAAAAAATCGTGGCGTTTTGTTTTCTCTCCTTGTATGCTTTCCCGCTGTAATGTTGGGTCGGTACGATCGACCAAGTTGTATGCGTATGCATTGTAGTACGAGTTAGGGTAATATATCGGTGGTAAAATCTGTCGTGATGTACGGGAAATAAGTGCACGGAGTCAAAGCCTCATTTTTATGGCACAGTACATCATGTCATGTCAAATGAGATTTGATTTTTAATCATCTACTGCTATGTCGTCCGAGTTTTGTAAGATCAAGCCGGCCCCATTCTCCACTACTGTACGTGCGCTCATGGTTTTGTTGTATTTTTGGCCTCTCCAAAAATATGAAAAGGCCATAGATGCAAGGAATAGTACTATGGAAAGGTTCTATAGCATTTCCCACGTCCATAAATTATGTCATATTTTTCGGACCTTTCAACAAAGAAACCACCCTCCAAACCTTGGCATGTTTTTTAAGTTGCTTTTCCATTTTCAAAGTCCAGAAAATGTTGCAAACAATTGGGTTTATGGAGAATTGTGAACCTTGCGAATTCAACAAAACAACATGGGCGGCAACCTATCTCAAAGCCTGTTAACAACAGAAAATACTATTGAAACTTGGGTATATTGTTGTTGTTGACCGATTTTAGGAAGTTTTAGGTTTAATGTGGACAATGAAATAGTTCAAGGTTCAAATCGAACTTGGCGTCGCGGTTCAGCGTTTTGAAAACATTTTCTTTATTCACTTATGGAGCAATCATCCTCTTCACCTAATTTTGTCTATGCATCATACACCACGAATCTGCACTACGACGCACACTTGCAGTCCAAATTGAAACCACTACTAGGATAGATATTCAGGAAAAGGAGAGGTTCCCTATTAAACAACATTCATAATTGAGAAACAACCGTTGGTTAGATGGTTCGGAGGTTGATACATTAGAGCGATGATATTTTTACGCAATAGTTTTACAAAAATCTTACAAAGTTCAATCCGGTGACGGCCATTCCCATGTTTTGTTCTAGGTAGTTGTTCCCCTCTCACAGTATGTAAAGTATTTGTAAAACAAGTGCGTGGGAATAGAATTTCTGGGTACATTATAAACCCACATTCTGACTTTAGTTATTTCTGTATACGTTGTGTTATTGTATGCTTTGTGTATCAATTATGTACTCACCATTTTAAAATGGAAGGGGTCACCATAGTGACAAAGAACAGTACTAGGACACCTAAGTACAATTAATAGTACCTAGGCATTTAATGCGGGGGTATGTCTTCTCTTCCTATGCATAGGAACAGACGCACGTCCCATCGTCGCCACTGTGCGTAAGGACCTCTTATTACTGCATTGAAAGTGCAACTAATCCCCGAGTGGTTTTGGTAATTCATAACAACATATAGCTCATTGAACTAATACTCTTTCAAGATCAATATTTCAGAAAATTTAATGATTGGTATGCCATGGACAAGAGATGTGAACCCCTCAAAATGCTAAGGACACATATTGGCAAAAGGTCAAGACTCTACATTTTCATTTTAGTGATCCAAGATCACATTGAGTTCATAGGAAAAGCCAATAATATTAAAAGGGGATGAGGTGTTGCTTAATGGATTGCTTGCTCAAAATGCTTAGTGATATGCTCCAAAATCCCTCAACCACTTTCTCATTTCCACATATGTCCTAATCCTAAAGTCAAACCCGATTTGATCTATCCGGCGCCACCGAGTTCACTTGACAAAGCCATATCCACAAAATCAGTTTGGTCTTATCGATAGAGATCTCGGTCTCACCGAGATGGGAATACAAACTCTATGTTTCCCTTCGTAACGTTTCGGTCTAACCGAAGTGAGCGATCGGTCCCACCGGGTTGGCATTGCAAACTATCTGTTTCCCTTTTGTAACATTTCGGTCTAACTGAGATGAGCGATCGGTCCCACCGAGTTTGCCTGACCAAGTCTTTGTTTACTTATTACTGAAACCGGTATCACAGAGTTCATGTGATCGGTCTCACCAAGATGAGATTTTGCCCTAACCCTAGCGCATCTGTCTCACCAAGTTGATGTTGTCGGTCCCACCGAAATGCCTAATGTTCACATTTTGAATCAAGTCGGTCTGACCGAGTTTAACTATTCGGTCCAACCGAGTTTGGGAATATGTGTGTAACAGATAGATTTTGTGTGGAGGCTATATATACCCCTCCACCCCCTTCTTCATCAGAGAGAGAACCATCAGAACGTGCCTACACTTCCACTACTCATTTTCTAAGAGAGAACTACCACTCATGTATTGAGACCAAGACATTCCAATCCAACCACAAGAATCTTGATCTCTAGCCTTCCCCGAGTTGATTTCCACTCAAATCATCTTTCCACCATAGACAAATCTATGAGAGAGAGTTCAGTGTTGGGGAGACTATCATTTGAAGCATAAGAGCAAGGAGCTCACCATCAACACACCATCTATTACCTTTTGGAGGGTGGTGTCTCCTAGATTGGTTAGCTGTCACTTGGGAGCCTCCGTCAAGATTGTGGAGTTGAACCGAGGATTTTGTAAGGGCAAGGAGATCGCCAACTTTGTGAAGATCTACCCTAGTGAGGCAAGTTCTTCATGGGCGATGGCCATGGTGGGATAGACAATGTTGCTTCTTCGTAGACCCTTCGTGGGTGAAGCCCTCCGTGGACTCGCGCAACCGTTACCCTTCGTAGGTTGAAGTCTCCATCAACGTGGATGTACGATAGCATCACCTATCGGAACGACGCCAAAAATCTCCGTGTTTACATTGCGTTTGCTCCCTCCAAACTCCTTCCCTTTACCTTCATATGCAATGATTTACATTCCGCTGCTATACTCTTAGAATTGCATGTGTAGGTTGTTTGCTTGACTAGTGCTAAGTTGCTAAAATCTGCCAAGACTTAAAATTTGGAAAAGGCTAGATTTTTATTTGGTCAAGTAGTCTAATCACCCCCCCCCCCTCTAGACATACTTTCGATTATACAAGTGGTATCAGAGCTTTGGTCTCCATTTGCCTTGATTTTCATAGCTTTGGTCATCATAGCTTTGGTTTCACAACCTAGGAAAGTATGGCGTCTAGCGAGGGAAATTACCATTGTAGAGGTTCTTACTTTGATGGTACTAATTTTGCTAGTTGGAAGCATAAGATGAAAATGCATATTCTTGGACATAACCCCGCCGTTTGGGCTATTGTGTGCATTGGTTTGCAAGGTGAATTCTTCGATGGGACAGAACCAAATCGTGAAGTAACTGTGGAAGAGTTGAAGATGTTGCAATACAAAGCTCAAGCTTGCGATATCCTCTTCAATGGATTGTGCCCCGAAGAATTCAACAAAATCATCCGTCTTGAGAATGCAAAGGAAATTTGGGATACTTTGCTTGATATGCACGAAGGTATCGAGTCCGTCAAGGAATCCAAAGTTGGATGTGCTTCAAAGTCAACTTGACAAGTTCAAAATGAAGGATGGTGAAGGTGTCGCTGAAATGTACTTTAGGATTGCTCTCATCACAAATGAGATTGCCGGCTTAGGAAGTGAAGAGATGACTGACAGATTCATCATCAGGAAGATCCTAAGAGCCTTGGATGGAAAATATGATACCATGTGCACATTGATCCAAATGATGCCCAATTACAAAGATCTCAAGCCAAGGAAGTCATTGGAAGAATTATTGCTCATGAGATGTCACTCAAGGATAAAGAAGAGCTTCACAACAAGTCTAGTGGTGCATATAAAGCCTCATGTGGTGCTCCTGCAACATCAAGTGAAAAACAAGTCTTCAATGAGGAATTGAGCTTAATGGTGAAGAACTTCAACAGATTCTACAAGAGTAGAAGCAAAGAGAGAAGCTCCAAGTCAAGATCCTACCATTACAAAAGAACTTCTAGTCGTGAGCGAATTTGCTACAATTGTGGAAGACCCGGACACTACTCCAATGAGTATACGGCTCCCTACAAAAGAAGAAAAGACTCACGTAAAAGAAGAAGTAGAAGAGAAGAATCACCTCCAAGAGAGAGAAGGAGTAGAGATGATCGTTATGAACGAAGATCCTCTCGCAGAAGCAAGGATTTGGAAAGGAAGGAGAAGTCATCAAGGAGCTACACAAAACGAAGACATCAAGCTCATGTTGGTGAATGGGTATCCGGTTCCGACTCCGACAACCACTCCGAGAGAAGTTATCACTCCAACTCCGAATATACTCAAGATGAAGGTGTCATCCAACTCCTGCGACATATTTGACTCACCAAATGAAGAAATTGGAAGATGCTTCATGGCTAAAGGCGCTAAGGTATCACACCCCAAGTATATTGATTTCAATAGTGATGAAAATGATTTGCTAGGTGATGATGATTTGCTTGTTGATAATGCTAGTGATGAAAAGCATGATGAAATTGCTATTAATCATGCTAATCAAGATGAAATGAATGACAATGACAAGAAGGAGATTGAGCGTCTAACTAAATAACTAAACACTCTTAAGCTAGCTCATGAAACTACTTTAGAGGATCATCCAGAACTTTTAAAGACTCATGAGAAGCTACGCTTTGAAAAGCTCAACTTAGAGCAAGAGCATGGATTCTTAAAAGCAATCAATGATGATCTTCGGAAGAAAAGTTCTTCTTACATTGCCAAGTGTTTACTCTTGTCTACTTACATGCCACAAGTAAAATCTAGCAACAAGAGTAAAAAAGATTCCTCTTCTAGTAGTAACAATAATCATGCTAAATCCAATATTGTTGCTTCTAGTAGTTCTCTTGATCCCACTAATGATCCTCTTAGCCAAGTTACACTTGAGCAAGAAAATAGCTTATTGAAGGGGATTATAGGGAAAGGTGTGTACAAGAGCCTTGCCGGAAGTAAGCAATTTGAGGAAATTGTATGCAAGCAAGGAAGGCACTGGAAGAATCAAGGTGTTGGTTTTGAACGAAAGTTCAA